CACCACACGACCATCACCACCGCCCAAAACATACCACCACAGATCCACCACCTCCACAACCACATATCCCCAGTCGCAGGTTAAACAACAATAAACCCAACTTCCATTAGCTACTGATCACTTACATACGAAACACACAAAGCACAAACACCATCATCACACTCCACCCCAGCCACCACAAAATCGCCAAAGAAATACCACGAATTGGGATCTAGAATAGATCTCCAAGAGGGGGACGACCAAAGTAGTGTACGCTGTTGTTGGTGTCACAGCCATAGCAGCGTCGAGCAATGCTGTTGCACACACACAGCAGTGTCGCGCGACGCTGCTGCCGTTCACAGGTAGCAACGTCGCGACCTAGGGAGGGAGGGGGAGAAGCAGGGAGGGGGGAGGAGGCAGCGCCGAAGACGGTGGAGAGAGGTGGCGGCGACGAGGGAGAGATGAGAGAAATGAATTGGATTAGGTTAGAGTTTGGATAGATTTAGGTTTTATATTAATTTGGTGGGGGTAGGTAGTAGGATGTGTACAAATGTTATTTTAATTTTATAATATTATTATTAATTAAAAATGATAAAACTTGATTTTTGATTAAATAAAGCTAAAACCTGATTTTCAGAAATTTAAAACTAAACAGCTGGTTTTATGTAATTATCCCAATTTTGGAGGGCTCCCTTTTAAAGGACTAACGATGTGATGTATATATTTACAGGTAGGGAGGCTGCGCAGACTTTGTATTATTGGAGATAAATAAATAATATATAGCCTCCATTTGACATCAAATAAATGAAAATTCTTTTTTTTTTTTGGAACTTATTTTAAATTACATATTTACACAATAAAATATTTTGTACGTAAATTCAAAAAATATTTTATAAGTAAATATTTTAATCACATATTCTTCAAAAAATTACTATTTCAAAACTCATTTTTCTAAAAAAAATAAAAAAAGCTCGTTAAAATGGATAGGCATAATGACTCGAACTATTCATTTGAACTTGGTTGACTTGAGATAGAGCTATAAGCTTTAATACGTATCTGAAACATCAATTTCAAATAAATAATTTGATCCGATTAAAACTCCAATGAGCACAAAAATTCCAAAATTGATGTTCTCATATGAGAACACCAACTCACACGAGGGCACATAGAATCTTTCCAATTTGCTTTTAATGGAAAAAAAAACCTCTAGAGATTGGATATACTCTGTAAAATGAGAAATTGACATATACTTTTAAATCTCACCAAACATGCCTTGTCACTTTAGGCATAATAATTGTTATTTAAATTATTCGAACATAGCTAGACACATTGTGTACTCAATTATCACCTCCAATTATTTACCTGCAAATTGCTGCAATGTCAATTTCACCGAATTGTTTCTACTCAATGATCTTTAACCAAATCTAAATTTAATTCACACCGGAGAAAATTGGAGTGAATAAACTGGAGAGTAATCAGAGACATGCTCTGATTATTCATTAACAAGGAGCTGATAAAACAATTCCTATCCTGAAAATCATCAAACATGGAAAGCCCTAATTGAAAAACGAAACTCAAAATAAATATAAAATAATATCAAGGCACTGAAAGGTATTGCTCCAAATTTCATTTCTTTATTGCTCTTCCATATAAATTCTAAAGAAAAAAAAAATGGATCGTGCGCTGAAGATAACACCTTCAAACGTATATTCATACAATAAAATATTCTACATGTAAATAAAAAAAAATTTCATGCTTTTTTAATTACATAATTTTCAAAATTTCAGTCTTCAAAATAATGCTTTTTCATAAAAATGGTCCTCAAACGTGGGCTAGGCATTGTATTACTTTATCGAGTGTGCTTATTTTGGAGGGTTCTCATTTAAAGGACCGTAACGATGTGATGTATATATTTACAAGTTGGGAGGCGGCGTATACTTTGTATTATTGGAGGAATCCATCTACAAGTATAGAGAATTTGTACAGAATTAGTACAGAAATTTGAAATGGACAACACAGAATCAAAAATGGAAAAAAACACACACACGGAAAGCATCCTGTACAAATTCTTTGAGTTATTCCCTGTACTCAGGGAATGACTCTTATTGGAATAAATAAATAATATATAGCCTCTATTTGACATCAAATAAATGACAATTCTTTTTATTTTTTTGAAACTTATTTTGAACTACACATTCACACAATAAATATTTAATAAGTAAATTCAAATTTTTCGTACATTTTAATCACACATTCTTTAAGAAATCACTATTCAAAAATTCATTTTTCTTATAAAATAAAAAAGCTCATTAGAATGGATGTCGAACAAATGCATAATGACTTAAACTATTCATTTTAACCCAATTAACTTGAGATAGAACTATATGCTTTAATACGATATCCGAGTCCATCAATTTCAAATAAGTAATTTGATCCGATTAAAACTCGAATGAGCACAGAAATTCCAAAATTGATGTTCTCAAATGAGAACACCAACTCACATGAGGGCACGTCTAATCTTTTCAATTTGCTTTCAATGGGAAAAAAAAAAAAAACCTCTAGAGGTTGGATATACTTTGTAAAATGAGAAATTGACATGCTTGATGCTTTGTCGACAACAACCCATGTCTGTTTAATAACAACAAATCAAATTTTTTTTTCATTAAATTAGAAATTAATTACATTAAAACATGCTTATTTTTTTCCTTCGGTTTGTAACTAATTTATTTTTAGAAAAGCCAATTCCGCTATATTCTTCGGAGCTACTCCAGAGTTTGTCGTGATAATTTTGATACT